TTATAATTATGTAATGATATATTAATTATATTAATATATTAACAATGTATATTTATATTGTTATATAACATCTATTGTTTATAGGTGTTGACATTTTGTGTTAGTGCTTATATGTGTGACTCAAAAGTTTGGGAGCTACTATTCTATTGCAAGTTGTTTTTCATTAGGTTATAATCTTGGATTTGTGACTCTTTTGTCCACAAGACATGATAAGTTCTGAAACCTGTCTTCTCTCTTGCAATCTATCTTGGCTTTTCTTAGTATCTGGCTTTATGTATGCTTAGTTGCAGCTAAAGGTGAAAATTCTCCGAAGCCCAGTACAGGATGGAAATCTCCATACAAAAAAATCACCTCAGGGCTCTCACACCAGTCTGTAGCTTGGAAGAGCCTTCTGAGTTCAGCTTGCAGAAAACATTTTTATAAAGCTGCATTTCCTAGCTCGATAGTGAATAAATACATTGTGGAACTTATCCAGATGGTATGTGATATACGTAGTTTCATAGGATCTTCTGTGCTTCAGCTGAATCTTAAACCCATCAAATTAAGTAAAAGCTAGTTTGACCTGCAGAGTGTATGATGAGTACTGTCAAGAGTCCAGAGTCCGTGCGTATGATCTTTGTGAAAGTCTCCGTTGGACTTGACTTTTGTTGAATGTTTTTGCATTCTTAACTATGCAAGGATTTAATGCAAATATGAAACTCTCCCAAGATCCATCAATACTCAAGCAAGAGCAACATAGAAATTAAATCAGTGGATAAAAGCAGGCAACCAAGACATTGCTTTTAACTTCCTTGCGTTTTTTGGTGCGTTTTTCATTAATGGATATGAAGCATCGTATAACGTCTTTGCGTTTGATCCTTGATAATTGTAGGGTAAAGTTGGAAGAAGGTGTCTAGGTTGTACCTAGAGATACAGATGATCTTATGAACAAGAGTTGTTTCATTGTTTGCTTGTTTGCCAGCCCGAAATGTATGGTTACTGAAGTGACAGAGGAATCCATCTGACACTAGGTCAATATTAAACTTCTAGCCAGCCACTCAGTACCCTATTTTTGTGTCACTCTAGCACGCATGGTTAGTTTCCTCTTGCAGTATTCCATTGTTTATAGGATGTCTTCTCAGTAGCATGTACTGTCTTTCTGGATAGCCTGTACTGTCTTTCTGGAATCATTCACAATCCACAGAGATTAATACCAAGTCTGAAATGAGGCTGTACTGTCTTTCTGGAATCATTCGCAATCCACAGAGATTAATACCAAGTCTGAAATGTTTCCATTCTTTGTGTGGTCAGTCCTACCAGGATGGAGAGAGTTGTTCTGTAGAAGCTAGGGAGGGAATGTTGCAATGGTTTCAATGTAGTGAAATTCTGGTTTAATTGTTTAAATCTTCATCAGATTGACCTGCAGAAGATGCCATTGGGAAAACTGAGCAAGCGACAGATCCAGAGTGCATACTCCATCCTGAACGAGGTTCAGCA